GCCTGCGGGGGCGCGAGCTTCACTGGGGGGGCGATGGAAAGGGGGGGGGCTGAAGAAGGAGGGGGGGCTAAAGAAGGGAGGGGGCCTTGAAGAAGGGGGCGATGCATGGGGGCCTTCAGGTGCCCTTCTCAGGCCCTAAGGGCCACTGATTGCCCCCCACTGGGGCCCTGAAGGGCCCCATCAGGGGGGCGATGGAAAGGGGGAGGGGGGGGGCCTACAGAAGGGGGCGATACATAGGGGCCTTCAGGTGCCCTTCTCAGAAAGGCCCCCAATTGGGGCCCTGAAGGGCCCCTTTCTGCAGCCCTCGCTGCCCTCCCATTCATGCCCTGGCATCCCTGCTGGGCGCGAGCTCACTGGGGGGGCGATGAAAAGGGGGAGGGGGAGGGGGTCTAAAGAAGGGGGCGATGCTCGGGGATGGACAGGACCCCTGTTAGTCAAAGTTTTTTGCTAGGAAAAAAACAAACGAAAACGACCTCGGGCCCAGACCTGGCGGGCGCAAGCCTGGAAAATGACAGCCGCGGCGCCCTCTCGAGAACCGAAAACGGACAAGTCCCTAATCGACGTGTCAGGGTGGGGGTTCTGTCCACCCCGGAGATACGTGGGGGCCTCGAGGTGCCCTTCTCAGGCCCTAAAGGCACCCATTGGGGCCCTGAAGGGCCCCTTTCCGCAGCCCTCGCTGCCCCACCCATTCATCGCCGCCCCCCCTCCCCCCAGTACGTGCCCCCCAACCCTGAAATCGAAGGACGACGCCAGGATTGCACATCGCCGGGGGTCTGCCTGACGTCCTCCGCCTCCTGCTCCTCAACGTCCTTGTCCTGCTCGTCGTCTCCGCCTGCAGGGTCGGCGGCACCGGCCGTAAGGCCTTCGCAGTCGAAAGGAGACGCCAGGATTGAGAAGGCCACATCGCCGGAGGTCTGGGATTGAGGTCGCCGAGGCTGCGAGGCGCGGAGCAGGGCCACCTCCGCGCGCCCTTCTGCGGGGGTGACCTGGGGCGACTGGGCCCAGGCATCCGACGGCTTGAGCTCCCGCTTCGGGGCCCCCGGAGGTCTGCAGGCCTTCTCCCCGGGGCCGGCTCCTCTGGAGGCCAGTCCACAAGAAACCTTCCACAAGAAAACCCAACCAAGAGAGGACGTCCATGGATCTGTGGCGTGGGAACGTCACGGCCTCCACCGCAAAACCACGGGACCCCAAGAAACCCGGGGCACCCTGGAGACAAGCAGGGTGTTTCTTGGCATGGGCCCCGACTGTAGATGGGGTCGGAGGATCTCGCCGCATCGCCGAAGCATCGGCGAGGCATCGCCGATGCATCGGCGATGCACGTGGGCGATGCATCGTCGACGCGGGCGATAACCGTCGGCGACGTCGACGTGAAGCAAATCAGGCTCCGCATCGAGACGCATCGCCGGTGCATCGGCGATGCGGCGCGATCTGCTCCGACCCCATCTGCTCCGACCCCATCTGGGAGGCCTAGATTTAGGTCGGCCGTGTCCTCCTACAGGCGGGTTTTGGGTGAAAAATCAAAAAACAACGACCAAAGATATCCAAACATTTTCAAACAAAAAAATACCCCAGTGCGACCCTACCTAGAAGTTGGAGCCCCTAGGAAAGCAGCATCAGTTGCTATGCTATGCTATGCTATGCTATGCTATGCTATGCTATGCTATGCTATGATGTGCTGCGCTATGCTATGCTATGCTATGCTATGCTATGCTAAGCTAAGCGAAGCTATGATATGTCATGCTACGCTATGATATGCTAAGCTATGCTGTGCTAAGCTATGCTATATCATGCTGCGCTGTGCTATGTCAAGCTATGCTATGCTATGCTAAGCTGCGCTATGCTATGCTATGCTATGACATGATATGCTATGCTATGCTATGATATGCTGCGCTATGCTATGCTATGCTATGATATGCTATGCTGCGCGGTGCTATGCTGTGCTGTGATGTGCTGCGCTATGCTATGCTATGCTATGCTATGCTATGCTGCGATATGCTGTGCTATGCTGGGTTTTGCTATGATATGCTGTGCTGCGCTGTGCTGTGCTACGATCTGCTCTGCTATGCTGTGCTTTGCTATGCTAAAGCTCGGCGAAGCTAAGATGAAGGTAAGCTAAGCTAAGATAAACCTGAACTAATATGAAGCTAAGCTAAGCTAAGATGAAATAAGCTAAGCTAAGACGAGATAAGCAACGCTAAGCTAAGGGAACGTCACTGGGGGAACCGCGGGGCGGATCCTGGGGGAACCGCCCGGGGCGTGGAACACTGCCCGGCCCTTTAAGCCAACACGGTAAGAACCCTTCTAGGCAGAGCCTAGGTAGGGAAAAATAGTCGACGGATCGTCCCGAGACTATTCTTTTACCATTCTTGAGAATTCCTCATGTAGAGAGACAGGCCCGACTTGAGCCTCGACCTTCGTGCCGATTCGCTTCTGGACGGTCCCGCAGGGGCCCGGCGAGGGCCCCCAGAGGCCGAGCCTCTCGAGCTGCAGGTGCCAGCGAGTGAAGCAGAAGCGACATCGACGCGAGCCGTCGGAGGCCCGCGCGGATTGCTTGGAGCGGCACTGGACCGCCCCCCCTCCACCTCCTCCTCCTCCTCCTCCTCCTCCTCCTCCTCCCTCCTCCTCCTCCTCCTCGTCCTCCTCCTCAATCCTCCTCCTCCTCCTCCACCTCCTCCTCCTACCTCCTCCCTCCTCCTCCTGCTCCTCCTGTGCCTCCTGTTCCTCCTCCTCCTACCTCCTCCTCCACTCCTCCCCTCCTCCTCCGCCTCCCCTCCCTCCTCCTCCTCCTCATCCGCCTCCTCCTCCTCCGCCTATCTCCTCCGCCTCTTCCGCTCTCCTCCTCCTCCTCCTCCTCCTCCTCCTCCTCCTCCTCCTCCGTCTCCTCCTCCGTGGCCTGGCGCGCGGACCGCGCCAGGGCCGGCGTCGCCAGGGGGGTTCGGCGCCGACCCAAGCAGTCCGCGCGGAGCTCCGAAAGACTGCCTTGGCGCTGCTTTCGCTGGTTCGCTTCTCGCTCGGGTCGGGGGCGGCCAAGAGGGGGGCGTCCAAGAGGGGGGGGGGCGCAAATCATGGCCGGCGGCACGTGCCCGGCCCAGGGGGGGGCGCCGGGGACGCCATGAAATAAGAAGAGGCGCCATGAAATCTGAGGGGATGTCATGCCCCCCGCCATGATATCCACCCCCCTAGTCATCACCCCCCTCTTTGCCGCCCCCGAACTTGTCGTTCGAGAGGCCACAGACTTCCGCGTCGAGCTCCTCGAGGCGCGCGTAGACGGGAGGCTTCGCGCCCACGGGGCCCGCGATGCTGGAGCACGGCGGTTCCTCTCCGCGCCATCGCGTCGCCGCGGCTGGCGAGGGCGCCACTGTCGGCGGCCCCGGCCGCGGCGCGCGGAGCGCGGCCGTTGTCGCGCCACTCGCGGTGCACCCACAGTACAAGAAGACGAGGCCGGGACGGGGACAAAACCGGGTGAGGATATACACCGGGAATCTCTGAATTCTGGCAACTCTGGGGGGTGTCTCGAGCGGCGCGGCCTTTTCGGGGCGTTCCGGAGCGCTCTGAGAGCGTTCCGGAACGCTCGGGAACGGACTTAGCCTCGCCCTTGCCCCGTCCGACGCAAACGTTTGCGCCAACCCTAGGCTGGGAAAACCAAAAAGCACCGATACCGCTAGTCCCCAGACCTCTCCTCGGGTGCTTTCTGACCAGGATTTCGAAGCGAATCCAGCGGTGGCGACTAGGACCGCCAAGGAGGCCCAAAAAGGGAAAAACGAGGGAAAGGTAGAGGTATGGGTACCTCTTCCTCCTCTGATCCTAGCCCCGTCCGACACAAACGTTTGCGCCAACCCCAGGCCCCCCCCCCCGCGTCGCGAGCAAAAAGACGACGGAGGGCTTCTGTTACTTTCGGCCTCTGGGGGCCCTCCTTGCCAGGCCCCCGGGCCGTCAGAGAACGACTCTGGGTAAAGGGGCTGGCCCTCGGGAAAGGGTCCTCAAGACATCGGATGTCTTTGGACGGGGGGGGGGCTGGATGACAAGCGTTTACCAACAGTCCGTGGCCTCTCCTCGGACGGGAGCGGTGTCATGATGCGTCTGGCGCAGGGCACGTGCCACGGGTTTCAAGAGCATCCAGGGGCCCTCGCTGCTGGAGTCCGTGCGGGGCAGCAGGACACTTGGGAAATCTGGCGCATCCTGGCAGCCCTGGAATCCTGGAAATCGCAGAGCGCATCGTCATCATGACTCCTTGCTCCTATGATTTCCTGGGCCTCCTGGGGGGGGGCTTCAGAGGCGCGCCAGGAGGAGACCCAGCATGCAAACGTTTGCCAAAATAGGTGCTCGTTCTGGGGGCCTTCCTGGAGTCCCTCGCTCCATTCCTGCGCCGACGCTGCGTCGAACGCCCGTCGGCTCGAGTCGACCTCGTGCCGAACTTGAAAGGAACTGCCGTCGAACTGGACCCGAACAGCTCCGTCCGGTGGGCCCCTGAGTATCGCTTAACCGATCCCCATCCCCGGCGGCGCGGCCTGGGCCCGACTGGCCGATTCACCCCCCTAGATGCGGATATAGGTCGTCCCCTTCGGGTTTCGAGGTGTGCATCCCCAACTGGGGTGGCAATCTGGTGGGGGCCTCGAAGGGATGGGGATGGGAAAGGGGATTGGTTACACAATACTGAGCCCCAGAGGGGGGCCCCCCAAGCGAGGCGCATGGCGACAAGCCCGTGGCCTTCCTGGGCCTCTCCCAGGGGGGCCTCCCGAGGCACGCTGGGCGAGGCCTCGACACCTCGTCCGACGGGGCCCGCTCTGGTCCCGGGCCCGCTCGGCGGAGCGAGCGGGCCGCGCGTCCACAGCCGTCGCGGAGCCGAGCCCGCTCGGCCGCCCGCGGGCCTGCTCGGCTGCCCGTGGGAATGGTAGCGAGAATGCGCCACGACAGCGTCACATCCGAATTGCGGCGCCATCTGACCTTGAAGACCCGCTGGATGGCAAGGGACACGAGGCGCCAGCACTGGAGGAACACCCTCACGAAGACTGCAAGCCACACTTGTGGAGACCGCAGCGCCCACTTGGCTGCAATACCGAGGGGGCTCGGGAGAGGCACCTGCGGGAGAGGAGGGCCCGAAGACGCAGAAAGCTTCGCGGAAGGCGCCAGGGCTTCTGAGAACCTCCTCCCTCCTCCCTCCTCCCTCCTCCCCCCTCCCCCCTCCCTCCTCCCTCCTCCCTCCTCCTCCTCCTCCTCCTCCTCCTCCTCCTCCTCCCTCCTCCTCCCTCTCCTCCTCCTCCTCCTCCTCCTCCTCCGCCTCCTCCTCCTCCTCCTCCTCCCCTCCTCCTCCTCCTCCTCCTCTCCATCCTCTCCTCCCCTCCTCCTCCTCCTCCTCCTCCCTCCTCCTCCCCTCCTCCTCCTCCTCCTCCTTCCTCCTCCTCCTCCTCCTCCTCCTCTCCTCCATCCTCCTCCGCCTCCTCCTCCTCTCCTCCTCCCCCTCCTCCTCCTCCTCCTCCTCATCCTCTCCTCCCTCCTCCTCCTCCTCCTCATCCCCTCCTCCCGCCCCTCCCCTCCTCCTCCTCCTCCTCCTCCCCACCCTCCCCTCCTCCTCCTCCTCCTCCTCCTCCTCACTCCCTCCCCCCTCGCCTCCTTCCTTCCCTCCTCCCTCCTCCCTCCTCCCTCCTCCCTCCTCCCTCCTCCTCCTCCTCCTCCTCCTCCTCCTCCTCCTCCTCCTCCCTCCTCCTCCTCCTCCTCTCCTCCTCCTACTCCTCCTCCTCCCTCCCTCCTCCTCCTCCTCCTCCTCCCTCCCTCCTCCTCCTCCTACCTCATCCTCCCATCCTCCCTCCTCCCTCCTTCACCTCCTCCCCTTCCTCCCTCCTCCCGTCCTCCCTCCTCCTCCTCCCGTCCTCCCTCCTCCCTCCTCCACCCTCCCTCCATCCATCCTCCCTCCTCCCCCCTCCCTCCTCCTCCTCCCACTCTCCTCCTCCTCCTCCTCCCTCTCCTCTCCTCCTCCTCCCTCCCTCCTCCTCCTCCCCTCCTTCCTCCTCCTCCTCCTCCTCCTCCTCCTCCTCCTCCCCTCCTCCTCCTCCTCCTCCTCCTCCTCCTCCTCCGTCCCACCGCCTTCTGAGAAGACCGTCTCCTTCTCGCGAGGGCTCGAAAGGCGCGCAGGCCCCTCGGGCCAGATGCTGGCCAGCGGCCAGGCCTTGCTGTCGAGTCGCCGGGCCCTGGCAGCCTCTCGGCCCCTGGGCCGGAGCTGCTCCGTCACGAGCAGTTTTCGCTGACGGCCCCGCGCGGCAGCCTCTCTCGGATGCGTGCCTCGACCTCTGCTCGGGCTCCCACAATGGTCAAAGTGGGGGTGCCAAACGGTCTCACTCCATCTCAGGGTGCGCGACTGGAGTGGGCTTTCGCGGTGGGGATTATTAGTGGTGCTGGTTACTCTTTCTCGTCAGGCGTTGAGCTCTCATCACTGACACATCATTTTTGTTCATCCCTCCTCGGGTGCCCAACGTTTTTTAAAATTTCAGCCCTCATCAAGACACATCACTATTCCCAACCAGCCTGTGTTGTTAGGTCCTCGTTTTGAAGAGACGGTCCCCGCGTTCCTTCCTCCTTCCTCCTTCCTCCTCCTTCCTCCTCCTCCCCTTCCTCCCCCCTCCTCCCCCTCCCACACCCATTCTGGCACACCCCTCACACGTTTCGTGGCCCCATAGGGAGCTCCACCGAAGGCCCCAGTGGCTGCGCCCGCATGCGGTTCCACCCCCTCATTCTGGCACACCCCTCACACGTTTCGTGGCCCCATAGGGAGCTCCACCGAAGGCCCCAGTGGCTGCGCCCGCATGCGGTTCCACCCCCCATTCTGGCACACCCCTCACACGTTTCGTGGCCCCATAGGGAGCTCCACCGAAGGCCCCAGTGGCTGCGCTCGCATGCGGTTCCATTCCCCTATTCTGGCACACCCCTCACTACGTTTCGTGGCCCATAAGGGAGCTCCACCGGAAGGCCCCACTGGCTGCGCCCGCATGCGGTTCCACCCCCCGTTCTGGCACACCCCTTCACACGTTTCGTGGCCCCATAGGGAGCTCCACCGAAGGCCCCAGTGGCTGCGCCCGCATGCGGTTCCACCCCCCATTCGGGCACACCCCTCACACGTTTCGTGGCCCCATAGGGAGCTCCACCGAAGGCCCCAGTGGCTGCGCCCGCATGCGGTTCCACCCCCCATACTGGCACACCCCTCACACGTTTCGTGGACCCATAGGGAGCTCCACCGAAGGCCCCAGTGGCTGCGCCCGCATGCGGTTCCACCCCCCATTCTGGCACACCCCTCACACGTTTCGTGGCCCCATAGGGAGCTCCACCGAAGGCCCCAGTGGCTGCGCCAGCATGCGGTTCCACCCCCCCAGTCTGGCACACCCCTCACACGTTTCGTGGCCCCATAGGGAGCTCCACCGAAGGCCCCAGTGGCTGCGCCCGCATGCGGTTCCACCCCCCATTCTGGCACACCCCTCACACGTTTCGTGGCCCCATAGGGAGCTCCACCGAAGGCCCCAGTGGCTGCGCCCGCGTGCGGTTCCACCCCCCATTCTGGCACACCACTCACACTTTTCGTGGCCCCATAGGGAGCTCCACCGATGGCCCCAGTGGCTGCGCCCGCATGCGGTTCCACCCCCCATTCTGGCACACCCCTCACACGGTTCGTGGCCCCATAGGGAGCTCCACCGAAGGCCCCTGTGGCTGCGCCCGCATGCGGGTTTTTCCACCGCCCCCCTATTTTCCTGGCACAAATCAACCCCTCACTGAAGGACGTTTCGTGACCCCATAGGGACTCCAACGAAGGCCAGTGGCTTGCGCCCGCAGGCGGTTTCCACCCCCCATTTCTGGCACACCCCGCAAGCACGCTTCGTGGCCCCATAGGGAGCTCCACCGAAGGCCCCAGTGGCTGCGCCCGCATGCGGTTACACCCCCCATTCTGGCACACCCCTCACACGATTCGTGGCCCCATAGGGAGCTCCACCGAAGGCCCCAGTGGCTGCGCCCGCATGCGGTTCCACCCCCCATTCTGGCATGCCCCTCACACGTTTCGTGGCCCCATAGGGAGCTCTACCGAAGGCCTCAGTGGCTGCGCCCGCATGCGGTTCCACCCCCCATTCTAGCACACCCCTCACACGTTTCGTGGCCCCATAGGGGAGCTCCACCGAAGGCCCCAGTGGCTGCGCCCGCATGCGGTTCCACCCCCCATTCTGGCATACCCCTCACACGTTTCGTGGCCCCATAAGGGAGCTCCACCGAAGGCCCCAGTGGCTGCGCCCGCATGCGGTTCAACCCCCCATCCTGGCACACCCCTCACACGTTTCGTGGCCCCATAGGGGGCTCCACCGAGCGCTCCAGTGGCTGCGCCCGCATGCGGTTCCACCCCCCATTTCGGCACACCCCTCACTCGTTTCGTGGCCCGGGGGCGCCACCGAAGAATATATCCACAATTGCGGTATTCACAACTACGTATGGTTGGGCCTTTCGTCAGGCTAATTGTTTTTTTTCAATTTCAGCGTTCCCTTGGGATCGCACACAGATCTTCATTTGGAGCAGTATTGGGCCTCAGACTGTGCTCTTGGACCCCGGCTTACAACATCAAAGACAACAACAGCAACAGCAACAGCAGCAACAGCGACAGCAACAGCAACAGCAGCATCAACAACGCAACAACACCACCAACAACAGCATTAACAACACCGACAAAGCAATAACAACAACGACAGCAACAGCAACAGCAACAGCAACAGCAACAGCAACAGCAACAGCAACAACAACAACAACAACAACAACAACAACAACAACATTACCAACACCGTCAATAACAGCAAACAGTTTAAGACTGTTCGCTCTTTTCCGCTCGCGTGCCATTCAACGCGTATTTCACAAACCTTCAAGACCCGCCCTCTTCGTCGTCGATCGTACCCCCTTGGGTGAATACCTTTCTTACCTGCAACGTGTATTTCGTGCAGCCCCTAAGGCATGGGTAGAGAGGACGGATGGAAGGAAGGGACAAGGGGGAGGGCGGAGGATGGAGCAACGAGAGAGATTAGCAGGAGGGGGGCTAGGAGCAGAAAACACGTGGCAAAACCAGACGGGCAGGTCGGGTGGGTAGACCTTGACAGGCGGGTCGGGAAGGCGGGCTCAGGCGGCCAGGTCGAGCAAGCGGGTTGCTGAAGCGTGCGTCCTGCATGAATCGCGAGGAAGTCTCGAGCGACAGTGCGATTCTCAAATAAATCGCGAGGAAATCGACGGCGAGAGCGTGATTCCTGAGCTTCGAGGGCGCGGCGTCTGAAAAAGTTGAGGAAGTCCCACGCGAGAGCGCGATGTTTGCATACATGGTGAGGAGTTCCAGCGCGAGAACGCGATTTGGGAATACACTGTGAAGAAATATCCGGCGGGAGCCAGTGTTGTTGTAAACCGGGGGCCAAGAACCCAATTCTGAGACCCAAGACTTTCCCTGATCAAAAACAGGGTGCGAGTCCCGGGAAGGACACTTCAATTGAAGAACACAAGGCGCCCCGGAGGGGGGGATCAACAATAACTAAGATTCAGCAATGAGGGTTCACCAACACCAGCAAAAACACCAACAACACACATAATGTTAAGGCTGTTTGCTCTTACCTGCCCGCGTGCCATTCACAACAACAACGGCTCCCGCCTGATACTTCCTCACATTGTATTCAGGAGTCGCGCTCTTGCGTGGTACTTCATCTCATTTGATTGAGACGCCGCGCCCCCAACACTCAGGAATCACGCTCTCGCGTAGAATTTCATCACGATTTGTTTTGGAATCGCGATATCGCTAAAGACTTCCTCGCGATTCATGCAAGACTGACGCTTCAACCAACCGCCCGCTCGACCCCGCCGTCTGGGCCTGCCCGCCCGACCCGCCCGTTAAGGTCAGCCCGCCCGACTCGCCCGTCTGGTTCTGCCGCTTGTTGTTCTACTTAAGGAAGATATATTCCCAAAGCGGGTATGATCGAAGACGGAAAGGGCGGGCGTCGAGGGTTCGGGAAATACATGTTGACGAATACCCACACAAATCAGAACGAAACTGTTAAACTGATTGTTGTTGATGTCGTCGTCGTCGTCGTCGTCGTCGTCCTCGCCCGCGACCCGCCCGCGACCCACCCGCGACCCATTCGCGACCCACCCGCGACCCGCCCGCGACTCACCCACAATCCACTCACAGTCACTGCTTTGACGAAAACTAATCGCCTAAGGCGGGCTCGCTGTACAACGTGTAGAAACTCGACGCCTGCGGCAGGCGTTGTCGGATCCCCGCAGACTGCCGACGACCCCGCCGCCCCCTCTTATCCGCAACTGCGGGTGCTATGATATACTGTTGTTCCACAGAGGCTGTTTCTGAACAGAGCACGGTGTGCTACAGTAGGCGGCTCGCCAAGGGGGGAAATGAGAAGGGGCGGGCCTTCTCAGAAGGCTCGGAAATCCCCCAGACTTCTGAGAAGTGCTCTATGCCTTCTCCGAAGACACAAAAAACCTCTCAGAAGGCGCGAGGGCTTCTGAGAAGTCCCGGCGCCTTCCGAGAAGGCCTTCTCCTTCTCACTTCCCCCCTCGCTCCCCGCCGATACAGCCACCGCTCCACACTTTCGGGCCCAGCTCCGCTTCGCAGATGCACACGGCAGTCGCCCCTGCGTGCGGGCGCCTCTCTCTGGCGACGCTCGCTCGGCAGGCCTCTTCACATCTGCAGCTCGCACGGCAGCAGCTCCTCGGGGCTCTGCCTGGACCGCAACTTCTTTCCAAGGAGATACTTGCCCAACAATTCCATTGCCTCTGGGCCGGCGGGTCGCTCACACAGCGGGCCCGCCTCATCGCGGCAGCTGTTCGCCCGGCAGTCAGCGTCGTGCTGATCCCAGTCGCCTGCACCGCAGCCGCAGATAACGTGGTGGTCTGACATCCAATCGCTCCCAACGCTTGGTATCAAATAGTGCGATGGGGTCTCGATTACATGGCACGGGGTTGACCCGGTTTGAGCTACGCATATGGCGGTGAGGAGTGCCTGGTCGTGCTGGTGGTAAACGAAACCGTCATACTCTGGATTGCCACTGCGAGCCTTACAATTGCAGAGGAGGTATGGGTCCATCGCCATTCGAGTCCAGGTTTTTAGCAACTGGATACTAGCATCGTGACGCTTCGAAAGTCCGAATGCGCTCGCACTTGTTTGGAACACACCCTGATCCCCAACAGTACGTGGGTCAAGCGAAAGATTGTCCCAAACTGCACGTTTTACGCTCTCCCACGGGTTTCTGCCCACGTGGGCAAACAAGCCGCTACCATGTTGACGAACTTCTTCGACAAGCCAGCTTAGGTCACCTAATATCAAAGTCCGAGAATCAAAATAAATCAAAACATCCTCATCTTCGCGCATCTGGTCCCAAGCTTGTTGCACGATCAGGGGCTTCCATTTAAAGCATTGCGTACCCGCATATGGCGGTGGAACGCACGGAATCTCGCTGGCATCCCAATCAGATTTGCTCTCACCTTTGCATTGCGGCGGCTCCTTGAGGTCGGAGATGTTCTCTGGACCGAACACAAGCAACCGTGCATTCAACGCTTCAGCTTGCAGCCTGAAGGTCGGCAGAAAATCCGTATAGCTGCCAGACGCATAGGTTGCAATCACAACTCCGGGAGTCACTTTGGATGTCCAGCAGAACTGCCCCCACTCACTTGGCACGGTCAACGCGACATAATCATGACCCCCACTGTCTGTCCCGTTGTTTTTCCAGATCAGCGAAAGTAGCGGGATCGCCAAAAAGACGCAAATCGATAATGCGATCGCCCCGAAAATATACTGCCGACCGCGCGTCCCCTGCTGCCGTGCGGACACTTGTCGTGTGGCGCCAGGAATGTCCACATTGAACGCTTGCATCCTCAGGTCAACAGGTACCGCACGTGTACTCGTGATGAGCTTCACCTGTTACTGGAACTGGCAGGAGACGATAGGAGGCGAGCCTTGAGCTGAAGTGGCTCGAGCCAGAATGGCTGGTGTTGTGTTGTTGGTGAAGCTGGCTACTCTTCTCGCATCGCTATCCGGAACCTCTGGAGCATCCGTGGTGCCCTTTGTTTGGGCGGCTTGGTGCCCTCTAGGAGCTTGTCGGGCCCGCTGGGAGGTCGCTGGAGGCACAGGGGCTCTGTGGAAGCCCTCCTCGGCTCTTCCCAGGCACGCTTGGAAGCCTCCTGGAGGGCCTAGGGCCCCCCTGTGACCCTCTTGGGCCTCCTGGGATTCTCTCTCGATGACCAAATTAAGCGGTCATCTGGGGCCCTCTCGGGGTTTGTGGGGAGCCTCCAATGGCCTGGCGGAGCATGTTTACGAGGAGGCCCCTCAGAAGCAAACAACCTCACACCCGAATTCGTTCCACAAGGTTTATGTTGCTCCCATCGCACATTCCAGAAACCATGTCGAGCATCCCGAAGAGTGGGACCAACTTTTCATCCCGAATTGCTTGTTGATCGTCCCCCAGGAGCTGAAAAGAGCCAAAACACCGTCCGCAGGCAAGGGTTCCCAAGAGCTGAGAAGAGCCCAAACCCGTCCGTCCTGATTTTTGTGCGACACGAGGTGGTCTGGGCATCGGTACCTTTTCCTCCTCCCTCGCCCCCCTCAGCGCCCCATCGCTGGCGCTGGTGGCGGTGCCGCTCAGCGCGCTAGACGTTGCCAAGAAATTGCAGCATCACGACCGGAGCCCTGGACCCCATCATCCTGCGGCACTTTTCGAGCCGGATAGATCTGTGATAGCCCAGGGGCCTGAAACAAGGAAAATCGCCAGTTGACTCCTCCTCCTCCTCTTCCTCCTCCTCCTCCTCCTCCTCCTCCTCCTCCTCCTCCTCCTCATGCTCTTCCCCCCCTTCCTCCTCCTCCTCCTCCTCCTCCTCCTCCTCCTCCTCCTCCTCCTCCTCCTCCTCCGCCGCCTCCTTCCTCCTACCTCACTCTTCCGCCGCCTCCGCCTCCTCCTGCTCCACCGCCTCCGCCTCCGCTCCTCCTCCCTTTTCCTCCTCCTTCCTGCCTCCTCCTGCTCCTCCGCTCCGCCTCCCGCCTCGCCTCCTCCTCCTCCTTCCTCCTCCTCCTCCTCCTCCTCCTCCACCTCCTCCTCCTCCCCCCTCCTCCTCCCCCTCCTCCTCTCACCTCGTCCAGCTTCCTCCTGGCACCCCTTCCTGCCTCCTCCTGCCTCCTACTGCCACCTCCTCCTCCTCCTCCTCCTCCTCCTCCTCCTCCTCCTCCTCCTCCTCCTTTCTCGGCTGCGCCCCACCGCTGGCGCTGGTGGCAGTGTCGTCCAGCACGTGGGGCGTGGCCTGCCGGGCTCGGAGTCTCGGAGGAGCTGCCGCGAGCGGCCGCCCACGGCCCCCGCCCCCCCTGGGGAGTGGCGAAGGAGGCGCTTTGGCGCAGCACAACGACGACGACGACGACGACGACGACGACGACGACGACGACGACGACGACGACGACGACGACGACGACGACGACGACGACGACGACGACGACGACGACGACGACTGCGGCGGCGGCGGCGACGACGACGACGACGACGACGACGACGACGACGACGGACGACGACGGATGACGTCGACGACGACGACGACGACGACGACGGACGACGACGACGACGACGACGACGACGACGAGACGCAAGGGCGGCGGCGGCGGCGGCGGCGGTGGCGGCGACGACTGCGATGACAAAGACGGCGACGACGACGAGACGCAAGGGTGGCGAGAGAGAGATTGAGCGAGAAAGAAACTAGAGGAAGCGAGTCCTGTAGAGAAGAGGTCCTGGACGTTCGTCGCCATGTTCTGGACGGCCCCAGGGCCGTCCAAAGAGCGACTCTGGACGACGCGCGCGGGGTCGAGGAACCGTTTCCGTGAGGGCCCCTTCACGTTATGCCCATCCACAGGCTCTGTGCGGCCAGTCTGGTGGCCAGCGCCTGCTGTAATTACTCCAGCCGCTGGAGTTCGCCCACGGGGCCCAGAGCGTACGTCGGCGCGCGCCGCTGGGCCCACCAGGCCGACAGGCGGTCGTCGTCGTCGTCGTCGTCGTCGTCGTCGTCGTCGTCGTCGTCGTCGTCCTCGCCTTTGCCTTCGCCGTCGCCGTCGCCGTCGCCGCCGCCGTCGCCGTCGCCGTCGCCGTCGCCGTCGCCGTCGCCGTCGACGTCGCCATCGTCGCCGCCGTCGTCGTCGTCGTCGTCGTCGTCGTCGTCGTCGCCGTTGCCGTCGCCGTCGCCGTCGCTGCAGCCGCCGTCGCCGCCAACGTCGCCTTTGCCTTTGCCTTTGCCTTTGCCTTTGCCTTTGCCTTTGCCTTTGCCTTTGCCTTTGCCTTTGCCTTTGCCGTCGCCGCCGCCGTCGTCGTCGCCGTCTCGTCGTCGTCGTCTGTCGTCTGTCGTCCGTCGTCGTCGCGCGCCGCGGACGGCCATCGGGAGTCTGACGTAAGCATACGCCGATCTGATATTTCAATCCGCGGCCCCATGAGGGGGGGGGCGATGCCCCCCCCCTGGGCGTTACGTTGCTGCTCGTTTTCCAAACTTTATTGATCGCGTGTCGGGGGTGGTGCAGGGTAGGGCCGTGTATGATAGTCTGCTCAGAACTGTAGTAGCGCGTGCACTTGGGCCGGGTCCCGCCCAAGCGAGGGCCTGGGGTGGCGGGGGCGCGCCCTGGGCCTCGACCCCCAAACCACCCAAAACGGGACACTGAACCCTCCACCCCCCCCCCTGTACTGCCCCCCCCCCCCCGGGACACCGATAGGGGGGGAGGGGTTCGGTGTCCCATTTTCGGCAGTTTTCGGGGGTGTCCCGGGGGCCTCTTCGGGGCTCCGCTGCCCTCCCGGTTTCCCCGTTCTGAGCCACCCGGTGGATGGGGCCCTGGTCCACATGTGTTGGTGCAGATTTGCTGAGCAGGCGGTCACTCGTGTCCGCTTAAGCTGCTAGTAAGCCCCCCCCCTTGAACGGGACGCCGTAGCTCCGGCTCGGTGTGTGCATTCATATTCTGTCGGCGTGGATGTCGAGTGAAGTTGATTCAGCTGTGGGTCTGCGACTGTGTGTGTGTGTTATATATATAATATATAATATTATATATAATTAATAGATATATATATATCGGAGGTGAGGGGGTGAGAGCGAAGTGGAACGGAGAGCCCCCCCTACCGGAAAATCGATTTCGGTTTCGTGTTCGTGCGTGCCGTGCGGGCGAGGCGAAGCTGCGTGGGCGGGCGAGAGAAAGTCTCCTGTGGCTGAGGCGCGGCCGGACCAAATGTTTCCCTTCCGGGCGGCCGGAGGCCCGCGGTGTCCCGCCGGTATCCCGCTGATGTCCCGTGTGGCTGAGGCGCGGCCGGACCAAATGACACCCTTCTGGGCGGCCGGGGGCCCGCGGTGTCCCGCCGGTGCCCCGTCGGTGTCCCGATTATGGTGATGATATTGATGATGATGATGATGATTATGATGGTGATGATCATGACGATGTTGATGTTTTGTTTTGAGGACCGGTAGTGAGATCGGTAGTGATATCGATTGTGGTATCGATTGTGAGATCGAATGTCAGATCGCTTGTGAGATCGATTGTGAGATCGATTGTGATACCGAATGTGATATCGATAATGAGATCGAAAGTGAGATCGGTTGTGAGACCGAATGGGATATCGATTGTGAAATCGATTGTGATACCGATAGTGAGATCGATAGTGAGACCGAATGTGAGATCGATTGTGGAATCTATTGCGAGATCGATAGTCAGATCGATTGTGAGATCGATCGATTGACTTAGTAGTGAGATCACTGTCGGTAATGAGATCGGTAGTGATATCGATAGTGAGATCGATGATGAAACCGAATGTGAGATCCACTGTGAGTTCGGCTGTGATTTCGATAGTGAGATCGATAGCGAGATCGATCATGATATCGAAAGTGAGTTCGATAGAGAGATCGATAGCGAGGCCGAATGCGAGATCGATTGTGAGATCGATTGTGGTATCGATAGTGAGATCGATAGTGAGACCGAATGTGAGATCGATAATGAGATCGATAGTGAGTTTGATAGTGAGATCGATAGTCAGATCGAATGCGAGATCGATTGTGATATCGATTGTGAGATCAATAACGAGACCGAATGTGAGATCGAGTGTGGGATCGATTGTGAAAATTATTGTGAGATCGATAGTCAGATCGATTGTGAGATCTATCAATTGAGATCGATTGTGAGATCGGTAGGGAGTTCGATAGTGAGATCAATCGAGTGCGACGTTGGTCCCTCCCCCCCTCACCTCCTTATCACCCGAAGGGTGGTCTATGCGGTATATATATACTAGAACCCACGTAAATATATACTAGAACCCACGCGCGCGCTACGCGTTCGCCTAGGTTCCAGTCATAGCTTCTCCAGGGCTCTCCGCAACCACAGCCAATCTCTACGGCTGCAAGTCCGAAGAGCCCCGGCGCGACTCCTTCTCCGTGCTGCTCTGCGTTCCTTCCCCGAAGGAGATCGCGCTGGAGGTCTTTCGCAGTCGTCGTCGTTGTCGTCGCAGTCGTCGTCGTCGTCGTCGTCGTCGTCGTCGTCGTCGTCGTCGTCGTCGTCGTCGTCGTCGTCGTCGTCGTCGTCGTCGTCGCAGTCGTCGCAGTCGTCGTCGCAGTCGCCGTCGCAGTCGCCGTCGCAGTCGCCGTCGCAGTCTCACTCGTCGTCGTCGTCGCAATCTCAGTCGTCGTCGTCGCCGCAGTCTCAGTCGTCGTCGTCGTCGCCGCCGTGGTGCGACACCGGCTGGCTCAGGGAGGCCCAGAAGGCAGGGGCGGGCGCGGGAGCGGGCGCGGGCGCCGCGCGGAACTGGGCCCAGGACCCGGGAGGCGGAGGAAGAGGAGGAAAAGGAGGAGGTGGAGGAGGAGGAGGAGGAGGAGGGAGAG